CAGCCCTCTTCCTAGATTGACCAGAAGTAGAAAGGAAAGGACGCTAATAAGTTCAATTAGAAATGAAAAAAGAAAGATCTCAACTGATACCATGGAAATATAAAACATCATCTTTGAATACTATAAAAATCTCTATGCCCCAAAACTTGAAAACATGGAGAAAATGGACAAATTCTTAGAAACACACAACCTCCCTAGGGTAAATCAGGAAGAAATACAATTCCTGAACAGACCAACGTCAAGCACTGAAATTGAAGCACCAATAAAATATCTTCCAATAAAAAAAAGTCCCAGACCAGATGGGTTCATACCTGAATTTTACTAAACCCACAAAGAAGAACTGGTACCTATACTGCAGAAATTATTCTACAACATTGAGAAGGATGGCATCCTCCCCAACTCATTCTTTGAAGCCAATATCACTTTGATATGAAAGCCTGGAAAGAAGATAACAAAAAAAGAAAACTACAGACTGATATTCCTTGTGAATAGATGCAAAACTTCTCAATAAAATCTTAGCAAACTGAATTCAACTGCACATCAAAAAAAAATTGACGATGATCAGGTGGGCTTTAACCCAGAGACACAAGGATGGTTCAACATATGCAAATCTATAAATGTAATTCACCATATAAATAAACATAAGAACAAAGACCATATGATCCTCTCAATAGACACAGAAAAAGCATTTGCCAAAATTCAGCACCCTTTTATGATAAGAACTCTTAACAAAATAGGCACAGATGGGTCATACCTCAAAATTATTAAAGCCAAATATGATAAACCCACCGCCAACATCATACTGAATGGGAAAAAATTGAAAGCATTCCCACTTAGAACTGGAACCAGACAAGGTTGCCTACTGTCTCTACTTCTATTCAACATAGTGCTGGAAGTCCTTGCCAGAGCAATCAGACAAGAGTGGGAAATCAAGGGTATCCAAAATGGGGGCAGAAGAGGCCACACTTTCACTTTTTGCTGACAATATGATATTAAATGTAGAGAACTGCAAAGATTCAACCAAGAGACTCCTGGAATTGATACATGAGTTCAGCAAGTCTCAGGATACAAAATCAGTGCACACAAATCAGTAGCTTTCATATGCACCAATAAAGTCAAGCCAAGAATCAAATCAAAGATGCAACACCTTTCCCAATAGCATCAAAGGAAATTAAGTATTTAGGAATATATTTAACAAGGAGGTGAGAGAACCATGTAGGGAGAACTACAAAACACTGAGAAAAGAAATTGCAGAGGATGTAAACAGGTGGAAAATCCTACCATGCTCATGGATTGGTAGAATCAATATTGTTAAAATGTCTAAGCTACCTAAAGTGATCTACAGAATCAGTGTAATCCCTATTAAAATACCAACATCATATTTTGCAGATCTAAAAAGAGTGATTCTATGCTTCAAATGGAACCAGAGAAGACTTCGTATAACCAAATCAATCTTAAGCAAAAAGAACAAATTTGGGAGGCGTCAATCTACCAGACTTCTAGCTCTACTACAAGGCTGTAGTAACCAAAACAGCATGGTACTCTGCACAAGAAAAGAGACATAGACCAATGAAACAGGACTGAGAACCCAGATATAAAACCATCCTCACATTGTCCTCTCATCTTTGACAAAGCAGACAAAAATATACACTGGGGAAAAGAATCCCTATTCAATAAATGGTGGTGGGAAAATTGGATAGCCACATGCAGAACACTGAACAAGATCTACAGCTCTCACCTGTCACAAAAGTCAACTCACAATGGATAACAGACTTAGACTTAAGACATGAAACCATAAGAATTCTAGAAGAAAATGTTGGAAAAACTCTTGTAGACCTCAGCCTAGGCAAAGAATTTATGAAGAAGACCCTCAAAGCAATCACAGCAGCAATAAAAATAAATAAATGGGACCTCATCAAGTTAAAAAGCTTCTGCACAGCCAAGGAAACTATCATTAGAGCGAATAGACAACCTACAGAATAGGAAAAAATACTTGCATGCTACATATCTGATAAAGGGCTAATAACTAGAATCTATATAGAACTTGGGAAAACCAACAAGAAAAAA